TTCCGTTTTAATTTACATTCGCTCCAACTGTCACTTTTATAACACATCCCTTTTGATAATTCCCGTAATGTTCATTTGATGGGATAACATTTTCAGTCATAATAACCGTATAAATCAGAATGCCACTTTTGAAACCACATATCAGTTTGTTTAATCTTTAATTGTTCCGCTCTAATTATATTTCTAATCTCCAGCAAGATTTTCCTATCAACATGTCACCCAATAATTTGTTTTGTGTATTCTCATTATTACAACTAAATTACTAATAATTAAAAATTGTTAGCATATCCCTCTTCAAACTTGTTTGAAGCTGGTACGTGAAAAACTCTTTAGTCTCTACTACATACGCGTTTCTTCAAAATCCACACCACTCCCGCCCCCCGCCCCCCCGCCAGCCTTCCTGCTTGGCAGTCACGTCAGCATCCGCCTCGCTGGCGCCGCCTCTCCGTATCTCGAGATGTGCTGCCGCCAATTTCGGCCGCGCCGCGCGCTGCTCTGCTGCGTAATCTCGCAGAGGAGGCGGCGATGATATTGCACTGCGCCGCCTTCTCCGCGCGCCAGAGACAAACGCCCCGCCCCACCACCCTCGCTCCCCCAACTGCGTCGTCAACCTCACGGCTCTCTCTCTGCAAGGCGTCCCGCCTTCCTTCGCGGCGATCGCATTGAGCATCATCTCGCATTTCCTTCCTTCCTCTCTCTTTTTATTCACTCGCATACTCTGTCTGAATTCTTGCGATAATGTATCCAGAAATCTAGCGAGCTACCAGTTGACAACGTGACTTCTCTCACTTGAACCGCCTTCACAGAAATATTATTCAATTTAAACGGCTCATCCTTGGTAAATCTTACTTTCCTGCACAAAAATAATATTTCTCTTCACAGTGCGATTTATGAAACTTTTGTACTGTGCCCCCTTACATCTCTCTTCACCCCCTCTTAGTTTCTTCATTTTCTTTTTTGTCGGTAGTTAATATTTTTTCCACATTATGGGTTTTTGAATGAATTAGTGAATGAAGATGATTATGATAAAATAAATGAATTTGACACAACCGCCCGCAATCCTTCTGTCTTGACTATCTGTCCCTTCGTGTTGTGCGTTTCATTCTTCAACCTTTAATTACCTCATTTACTATGTACGCCATCACGCCATAACTCGCTATCCCTCTTCCTTTTAACTCACCTCATACTTCTCCCCCACTCTCTGCATAGAATCTCTCCTTCATGCTTTCTTGACGACGAAGTCCCCATAGGTTGACCGTAAGCAGAACCACGAGAGTCTATATTATAGACCGTCCACGAAGTCCGCTCTCATTCCATTCTCGAGGGCGGAGGCCAAATGGAGCACACGCGCCCTCTGCCGCCGCTCTCTCAAGCGGGCAGCTCTCCAGCGCAGCGCCCCGCCTCCACAGGCAACGCGGGGCAGGAAAAGCATCGCGGTTTACTACATCGCGGCGTCTTTCGTGAAACATTTCATCACTGATTACACCTGGGTCGACCGCGTTACAGCAGCAGCTGCTTAATCAATGCGCCTCAACCTTCACACATTTCTTCACTTTTTCTCTTCACCGTCTCATATGATGTTTTGATTTATCTGATGTTGAACCTTTACTGTGTGATGAGTTAATCGATGGAACAGTTGGTTTAATCAATGATTTAATAATAAAGTAAATGATGATAACTGGTCTTGAAGAAACCTACCAATTAATTTTGAGAAGCACAATTCTCGATTATATTCCCGATTTAAATAGCTGACGCTCATAACACGTCCCGTTTATTGAGGAGTAATGGTTGTATCCGATATTTTAAAATGTATTTATTTTGATGGTCATGCTGACCTTAGGATTTCTACGAGATTCACAAATGCGTTTGCATGACACCCGACCAAGAAGACAATGAACACACCGAGAAATTAAAGTGAAATATGTTAGGTCTTTACATAATATTTTGTTGGATATGGATTTTTTAAGAACCGTATCTGAAGTAGGTCAGTTAACAAAGCGTACCAATGTCATTCCATTTTCTGGAAGCCACCAATTTTACTGAGGGAGGCAGCGGCGAACTTTAGAATTACTTGCAATATAATCGAAAGAAAATTGTATATATCTAAGAACTAATGATAAGTATTTTTATTAAATACATTGCAATCATTTTGAGCAAAATTTTTGTTAAAATATTTTCAGCGTTTGAGATAAGGCAATGCCTTAGTATTTCGCGTTCCTTTTCCTGAGAAGACAAACGGCTGAAACTCCTTACCTAAACAAAGATATTTAAACATAACTACGCCGAGGACCATCGCTGAACCCCCTTCCATTGATACGAAACTGTTCAAGATTTTTATTTTTACCGATTCATGATTGCTTGCTACTGTGCTCCATACGGAGCTCGACACTCTCTGCGTAACTTCCCTGGATCGAGATGATTCGAGAAATATGAAAGCTGTGGAATTTTACTACATGTTCTCTTGCGAAGGGAATGAGAGGAAACTATGGGAGGGAAAAATTGAAGGAAAATGTGAAATGAAAAACAGAGTCAAGTTAAGAACTAGTAATTACTAAAAGTAAATATGTATAATTAAAATTAGGTAAACAATAGAACTATGTATGTACCACTGGCGTTAACTGCTTCTAATAACCACGGCCGACGAAAAGCCCTCGGACTCGATTAAAAAGCCGCTCTATCATTAGAACCCTCATAACCCCCTTGCTGCATAAAGAACTGAATTGTGTGCCGTGCGAGATATTCGTTTGCCCAGTCAACAGTACAAGGACGTTTCAATTTCGTGTAATTGTGTGGATGGGTTTCTGCGAGCGTCGCGTGGGTCCCTGAGGGATGTGCAGGGGGCGCTGCTCCGCGCAGGGTCGCGCCCCTCCCTCCCCTTCCCTTCCCTTTCCCCTCCCCCTCTCTCTTGCGACGCGCGAAACGGGGCCGAACAAACTTCGGCGCATTTCTTGTCGGAGGCGACGCGTTCGCCTTTTCCTCTCGACTCCTCCGCGACGCCCTTTCTGCGGCTTCATTTCGCGGCTGAGGCCGCGCCCCGCGCCCCGCGCTTTCACTCCGCGTTTCGATCCCATTTCCAGTGGACGACCGCCTTTTTCCTTCCCCGGGATTTAGAGTCCACTACGCCTCAACGAATGGGGCATCTTTTCCATGCTTTGCGTACTATTAATGACGGGTGTTTTTCGTTATTTTTTGAGGACGATATGTTTGTATATGTTATTTTGTACTTCTTTCAACGCGGAAAAATTAAAATCCTGGCGGCTACATTATTCAGGTAATTAAACTGTTCCTTTGTTTACTTTTAACGAACTTATTCACTCTTAATACTTTTTTTTTAATTTCACAATTTTATTTGCACAACATTGAACTAGTAATTCAATCATCAGATCTATAATTATCTTATTAATTTGTGAGATCAATATATTTTTCTTTATAGTAGAAAAATTTTTGCCTATGCTGATATGTTAATTATCTCGATATTTTCGAACATCGCTTTTCAAGTCCCGATGTTAGCATGTTTACAGTACATCGACCTCTGAATATTTTCAGCTATCACGAATGTATGTGTTTTATCACACAAATTCTGGGTAGTAAACACAATCTCGTAATGCGCGCATTACATAATTGCGCCAGACGCATAAGATACGTTTATGACCCGTGCAGCCCGCCCTCTGACCCTTTGACCAGCAGCGGCAGCGGGAGCGGTGGCTGGCTTTTATTTCACGTGACCTCTCTAAAACATTAGCGGAACAGCGCAAACCTCCAACGAGCAAACACACAGCGATAACGACGACGCTGCCTGCGCTGTTTTGTGAACGCCCCTCCCCCCCTCCCCGCCCTTCCGCGCGGAATTATTCAGGCAGCCTCGCGGACAGGAGATAACACTGCAGCCCCGAGCTCCTGCTTCCGAAGCTTTGAAATTCACACGTCCACCGCGCCTGCATTCACTTTGTGCCTGAAAGTTGCCTCGTGCTCATTGCGATATGTATCCAAAAGGAAACTTTGGATTCGTCCTCTCCTCAACCATTTGAAATAATAAAAATGCGCGACATCTGTTAGACCTCAAGTGCAATGAACCACGATGGTGAATGCAGAATGCGCACGTTCTTTGTTCAAAAGGTTCTATGAGATATTCATTTCCATGGACCTCGCTGTTAGCTGTAAGAACTCGCTGTTAGCTGCTGCTAGCTAGCTGCTGAACTCTTGAATCGTTTATACAAGAAAGAAGGGTGACGTGAATAGTTTGTGTGTGAAAAATGAGAGCGAAAAGTCTTTCCAAACTACAAAATCAAAACTTTAACACCCAATCGACATGTTTTCAAAGGCAGAGTGAATAAAATATCGATGATAGACTATACTACTACACCCAATTAATAATTTAATATAGAGATTTTACGATCACTTTTTATTAAAGGAAGTACATTTCAGCGGATCATAAAAAATCTGCCAGTGTAGATCGAGTACAAAAGGAAACGTAAACCGCCAGTGCAATCGGCAACAAATGGGCGTGGGCCAGCGATCAACGGAACAGCAGCCACGAGGCCGCCTCAACTCTCCGGTCGCAGAAGCCCCCGAGAGAAATGTGCGGCCCCAGCTTCGATAGGCCTTCGATATGGCCGTCGGCGGGCTCCCGGGAGCAAAGCGCCAACGCCGTCTAACTGCCAATAGACATCGCACACAGATTCGATTCGACCGTGTTTTCTTTTATCTTCTCAATTCTCCTTTCGTCCTTTGCAGTTTATCGTAAAATACGGTACCCTTCGTGTCGGTTGCAATGTCGTAAAAGTTCTACAGAGACTTGGAGCGTAGGAATGTGAAGTTTCTGGGTATATTGCCGTCGATATATCTCGCGTTTCTCATTTACATTTGTTTTCGTCTGCTTCAACATACCTCTAAAAATTCAACAATGGGAACACAAAAAGTAACTGTTTCGTAAATCTCTTACTGACTCACAAAATTCAGTATTTCAGTACCAATCTAATTTGCATGTGAAATGGACCAACCTTTAGGTTTCTCCTCCAATACTACCGGATCTTCTCACGCCCCTTTCAATTTGCACACAAAATTGAACGTAAAGCAAAAATGAAACGCGCACTGTGTACAGAGAGCTCAGACAGTCAAACCCGCACTGATTTAGTCTCCCGAAAACTCTTATCAATGATCACGTGGTTTTGAACAGAATTATTAATGACGTAATAAAGTAGGGTACGTTCTCCAATGAGAGCTCCGTCAGAGAGGTCCAATCAGACAAAAGTTTGCACCGAACGGAAGCAGACTTTCTGGGAAGAAAGAGGCGCATTCACAAGTCGACTTTAACTTCTTCGATTCCTGAAAAAAGAAAGCAATACTACACAATCCATTGTTTCTCATTTCTTTATCTTTCAACTATTCAACGTAAGTTTACGGTGTAGAAAGTTTTGAGATTTTACAACGGTTTGACGTCTTGGGTTTCTATTGTAAAGATACGAGATATATGAATGCAATAGTTTTGAGTTTTCGCGTAAATAAATAATTCATTAGTGCGGTGTATATAAACATTTATATTTAAATTTGTTGATATCATATTTGACTCACTTACTCCCTAAACACGTATGTTATAATATTTTGTTCGTTTCATGTTAAATATTTGCAATGTATTGTAACTCCATGGAGAAATAAGTTCATCTACATTAGTTACGTCAACAACAAAGTCAAACTTTGATGTTACAGTTGTGTGACAGTTTCGTGTTTCGTGTTTAGAAACATGAATATGGTGAGACACTGCGTAATGAAATAAATTCCATTGTTATTCCATCCTCTGAATAATTGAGTAAATATGCAACATTTGAAGTATAAATTATATTTATTTACAATGCACAGTAATTTCACAATTCCTAGTCTGTTTTGATGTATTGGAAATTGATTAGATTTTATGATAATCTGCGGATTTATTACGCATTTAACATTGATGGTGATGGCTGACATTGTTTACCATTACACGAGAATACTGCATTCGAATAATATCCAGTGCACAAGTTGGTTTTATAGAACCCTCATTTATTTTCAGTCTTTTTTGAATATTTCCAGTATCTTTATCCTAACTCAAAGCCCCCCCACCCCCCACCCATAAATTACATTTTTTTTCCTCTTTCGCTCCCATTCTTTTCTTTAAATATGTATTTTCTCCTTTAATTTTGTATGCGGTCTATGCTCAGTTGTTCTGTGAAGAGATTAACAAACCCTACTTTTGTAATCAGCATCGTACTTCAATTGAATTATTGCAATATTTAACGGTCCGCTCAATTTCAATGCCGACGTTGAATTGACGATAGAGCTACAAATTCTAAGGACCAAATATCTTAATTTTGCCTCATTACAATTACTGCTTCTTAGCGTTAACGCCTAATACTTCAAGGCGGAAATTAGAAACTTCTAAATTAATAACATTTATTCTAGTTATTGCATTTTTCTAGTGGTAGTAAAATTGTATCCTACTATTTATTTTGAACAATAGATAGATTCAGCTTGTTTCACATCTATGTTATGAATACAAATAGGCATTTGATCATTTGGAAATTACGCAGATATAAGTGACAAATTTTAATAGTGCATTATTTGATCTTTACATTATCATCAACAACGTCGTGGTATTTGGAATTAGTTCACAGTTCTTTTAAAAAACAAACTAATGCTAGTTATGATAGAATAGATGGAAGTAAGTTATGATGAACTTCCATTGTTCTGTGAACCTCTGACATATTATTTTGTTGCCTCCATCATGCACACTAGATTATTTCTCCTAGTGTCATATTCCTGACAGCATGTTGATGGCTAGGCATCTTCAAGTATATGACATATCCGGACATATTGAAATTATGAATGATAATTGAAGTCACATTTTGTGAAACGTGGCGAGTTGAAAACATGCATTTCGCGAAGTTCGAATTTGCAAAATCCGATACCGCGAACTGCGGTCTCCTCTGCTAATGTCTGAGCTACTTGAGTCGTGACTTTCAGGCGAAATCACACCTTACTGCCAGGGTGAGACACTGCAGCACTTACTCGAAGTCGGCGTTCATCTGCAGAGGCTGATCTAAGTCCGGGTGTTGTTTCCAGGTATAGGGTAGGGATGAACGTCTTCTGCCTAGGCAAAGCCTATGACCCCAACCTTGGAAAGGGACTCCGGTCAAGTGACATTATTGTTCTCATTGAGAACATGGGGCACGGAAACTGCCGAATTTTACAAACGAAATATAAGATTAGTGGTTAATCATCTCTTAATGGTGGTGTTCTTGGATTTCGTTTTCTTCCCACACCACGTGACGTCATTCTGTAGCATAAAGAGGGAAATGAATCATTTATTAAACATTAACGCCACGAAACATATTAAATTCACTTGCTGTGCTCCACATAGTAATTATGTAAATAAGGAGTATATATTCCTTGGACCGGCAGGTCGCCTCTTTCTTTGCAAAGGAAACATTTCGCTTCAAAGCAGTGTAATTTTATCACTGTAACTAGCTGAACCCCTGCGATTATATGGCACAAAAGTAAGAAATGAAGAAAAGTTGCAATAAAAAAGTTCAATATATGCACTATAAGAGATCCTGAAAACCTTAAAACATTGTTTCGCGTCATTTAGTACTTACATTCTAGACAAGTTTAATGGAATGAAAAAGGTTTGAGGTTTACGAATTCCGGAACAATACAATCATTATTCAGTGCAAACATGGTTAAACATGGGCACATTTTTTAAAATGTAATTGACATTTTTTTATATTTAGTTATTTATTACTATTATTATTAAAGTAAACTACCAAGATCTATACCTGTAAGCTGCAGTGGACTACAGCAGGAAATCTTGCTACCCAACTTGAACACCTAACTCATCACATTTAATTACAAATTATTTTTTTTGTAAAAGGAGACACGTGTCAAACGGACATTTACGTTTATATATCCTTACTAATCTTTACATTTAAAACGCTCGATCTTCGAACTGAAAAATTCTATATTTTCGCTTGGGTATCAACAACCTTATGATGTGTCGATTGATTTTGCTAGATCAATAGCAACACGCATAACAAAACGGCCAACGGAATGGAAATGACAGTAAATTAGCGTTAATTCTCTCAATTTAGAGATGTTATTAAAATTTAGTGTTTACATTATAAAACCTGTTAATAAGAGCAAGTAGTAACACATCTAAGGCTCACTAACTTTCATTTTAAACAAAAGTATGTAAAAATATTTTATTCCTGACTAGGGGTTAAGCTATGGGAAAATATTTATTGCTAACCGTCTCGAGTAACTGAAGCTCAACATCCCTTAGTCATTTCCAAGTGGAGTTCAGATGAGAAAATTGGTCGTCATTGACACAGTCCGTTTACGATGGCATTGTCGTCAATATTTCGAACATCGGCTACCACAAACAAAAATCTGCCGATGAGAAATCGTCCTTCAGGAGTACTTCAGCCTGCTTGCCTTTCTCTGCTGGGTTTGGGGTTTAATGCCCGGTCGAACATGTGAAATTTCAATTAACAACACAATAATTGATTCGCGATAATTTTCTCGGAAGCCTCCACTTCCCATGTCTCATTCCGCCATAGCGTCATTATTCATCTCTTCCGCTCTTTATCATGAATATTCATTCATCTCATCCATCCCATCCTCCCAAAGCAATAATATGTGGATGGAATATGCGAATAAATGACATTGACTTCGTAATGATTCCATACGCCACGTTCCAAATAAAGACCAAGACAACAGTTGTTATTATGTCTCAACTTCAAAATACAGATCATTCAACAACATTCCATACATTTCAGTGGAATTTCATACATTTCCTCCGCTGTGCACACGCAGAGATACCGCTTTCCAACTACTTTTTGACAAACAAGCAAAAGCAAATGTTGCACGCGCTAAGGTTAATAGCTTTGTTAGTTTAGCAAGAAGTTGCCAGATTGAAGCGGTCGAATTGACTCATTTCACCGGTTCTTTCCCTCGCGAGACTTGCGATTACTGAATACCATCCTCGCGTGCCGCCAACGCAAATCGTCCATTTTCGTCCAGAATGGAGATGTGTTTTACCCTTTCCCTTCTTCCCTGGCGCAAGCACGGCTGAAGCGTTTCTACTTGATTCATCCCGCGCATCCCGCACGCGTGCCGCGCCCCCGCGCGCCCCCGCGCGCCCTCGCCCACCCACGCGCCGCTCACACAGCGTGCAGCGAGCGGGCGTGCGGGGGCGTGACGGGCGGCCTCCTTCCGTGCGCAGCACCAAGCGGCGGCGGGACGATGACGCGGCTGGCGGCGTGGTGGCTGCCGCTGCTGCTGCTGGCGGGGGCGGCGGCGGCGGGCGCGGCGGCGCTGGACGACGACGCCGACGGCGGCGCCGACAGCCTCAAGAGCGCGCTCGAGGCCATCTCGCGGCGGCAGCGCGACCTGGCGGCGCTGGGCGGCGCGGCGCCGCCCCTCGCGCACTACCGCGCGCCGCCCGCCGACCTGGCCTTCCTGGCGCCGCCCAGGGACTTCGCCGGTGAGTGGGCCGTCGCCTCGCCTTGCAAGCGCCACGCCACGCAACGGTCGCCTACAAACAAATTGCACGGTTAGCGCAGCAACGATAGGCAATGAATTCAATGGTAGCGAAATCATACGCTCTGACAATGCAGTAAATATTTTTCCCCTCATTTTTGGTATCTTAAGTTTATAGACAATCAATTAAAAGTTCAAATCAATGCAGGAATTGCTTATTAAAATAATTTTAACATGTTTTACAGCGTACTTTACTTTTGAAAAATAACGTTTCGCTGACCTCATCAAATACATTAAAATATGTAGGAAAGGAAAATATTTTTACAAGTATGAAAATAAAGAATATAAATGATAAAAAATGATTGTACACTTGTAAATATTATTTATTTATAAAATACCATTATTACCATATATTAAATTATTAAAATTTATAAATTATTATTTATAAAATATCATTTATTGCAACATAGCATTAAAAGTGGGCGCCTTTAGCCGAATTCCTTATCAGCGTTTCGTGAAGTCACGGAAGTTTAGCAAATCGAGACACCTCAGATTCCTTGACAGGATCATCTGGGAAACCCGGTTACTAACGGCGTCCAGCTCCTGGCAATGACTGGCTGCGGCTTTACGAGACAAGGCAAAATTTAACGGAGGATTTCTC